TTAACGTTTCTACAGACGTCCGAACTTTCACAATAATTTCCGAGAAAAAAAAGTATCCTCACTTTTTTCTCTACCCGTCGCTGCACTATGTCAATTCATCTTCGAAGAAAATAAACTCATGACTCGTGGTAGAAGTCTACGAAATAAGATCACGAGTGGATCGTTATGCGATCTTATGTTACAATAGTTAAAATTATCGACGATTTTTCACTGTCGTTGGACAGTTATACTCTTCACTGTAAACATCGGACTCGACTCGAAACGCGAATATCGAACGTTTCACACCAAATTCACGGAGTTTAAAACTCGAAGCTGACAGATTTAAAAATTCAAAAGGTCCGACAATTTCGACGAATCTGTCCGCGATGCAGAGTATGGACAGCAATTATATTACGTGCTTTGTAATTAATTTTGCGATCAATTGCTAAATGTAACCATAGTAATCGTAATAATCAATCGATCAATCGTCGTTAAAATAAATCAGTCAGTTAATCATTTATTAAAACAAGTCGGCGATCTTGAGTAACTTTTGCAATTTCGTAATCATTAATCGGTAATCTTTTAAATCGTTGAGTGATCGATTTATAGTTCGTTACGATCTGTAACGCGTTACTTCTTCGCGTTGCCACAACACGTTCAAACGTGTTAATCGCGTACAGCTGTGCCATTCGACGTAACTAAACGTTATTATTAGAAACCTAGCTTGCAGTTTCGAGCAGTGGACCCGGTAGAGATAGATCGAGACTAGAGAGAACATCCGCGCGTATTCTTTGCTGTAACAATAGCATCGGTGTATTGCGATGGATTCGAGAATCCAAAAGATTCGATCCACAAGTTTCCGTGTCAAAGAACGGTTGGAATGAGCCAGAACGCGAGAACGAGGTGGCGTGAACGAGGTAAACTGCCGCGCCTAGATGCGCGTACGTGCCATACGCATGTCACGGATATACCGTGGCCCTCCTTCACACTCGGCATACTTGATCGGGTTTTATGCAGGATGCACCGTAACCGCGCGGCCTCTTCTCGGGTCTCTCTCCCACAGTTGAGCCACTGCGTGCCCGCGTCACATTTCTCCGCGCCGGGGAGACACTCTGCCCGGCGGAGACGTGCCTGAAATTTTTCTCTCCCGTGCGCGAGAAAACGCGCCTCGCGCTCGCGCGACCGCCGCTGGACTGGTATTAAGGACGCGGTCTGAAGAAACTAGGAAATGTCGGGTGCTGTCCACAACGCGTTTATGTAAATCAGCAACCGGTTGATCAGACCATCGGGCTAACGGTGCTCGCATTCGAATTCGCTCTTCGCGAATTCGCGCATTGAATTGCAGAGATTGAACCGAATCGAGTCGCGGTGGATGTCGACGTGCTCGAAGCATTTTTAGCTAATGACTGGTAGTAGGAGTTGTTGGGCTTGAAACTTGTGGTGACTGGAACGATAATGGGATTGTTGATTTTTCAAGATGGTAGTCGAAATGGCCTTGAAATAATTCTAAAAATGGACTGAGAACGCGTGTTCTAAGAGCAAAGGCTCATAAAGGTTTATATCTTGCGAGGACGAGCAGCTTTGAGAATCTGTTGTGTGCTTTGAAATTGGGATAAAGATGTTGATGAATTCGGAGCATTTTTTTTTTTTTTTTTTTTCTTTGATGGCTAACTTGTAAGAGAAATTATTAAAAGGTTTGAAACTTGGGCAATTGAAACGATAATTGCTCAGACTGTTAGTTTTGAGAATTTCGACTGATCTCAAGCACAAACCTTGATTTTAAAAATCAAGGCTGTGAACACACGTTCGACTATCGGTTTTGAGGTTAGGATAGAAATTTTGACACACTCGGATTTTTCAACAGTTCTTGTTCGGTAAGAAAAATTATTAAAAGTATTTCTATCTTAAACTTAATCTAAACCCTTCAAGAGCATTCTATTTCATTTTGAGAACGTGTACTTGCGTCCAGAATTATTTTTAAGCTACGACAAAAGCAGAGTAACTGTACAGTCGAAATAAATTGCATCAACGAAACGACAAAATTTTCCAGCTGTTTTTTTAAACGTCATACTTTATTTTAGAAATTATGTATGCACAATTACAATTGATAACAATTTTTTTGTCTCGAAGTATTCTAAAATTCTTTGTTTTACCTGTACTTTACTTCAATTATTTGCGCTGGCAATTGATTGCGGACCATAACGAGTGACCGAACCGTATACAATATAATTCGTCGCTTTCTTTTTCTCTTGAACTCGTCGGTATGACATTACTGGATAGAAATTAACAAATTCATTACTTGTTTTACCTGGGTTGTGCTTAAATATACTTAAAACTGTGGAAATATTGCAATTTTGGGGACATAAAGTTCTCAGCGTGCGCTGGCAACTGATTGCGGACCATAACGAGTGACCATACAATAATTCGTCGCTTTCTTTCTCTTTTGAACTCGTCGGTATGACGTTACTGGATAGAAATTATCGAGAAATAACAAATTCATTACTTGTTTTGCCTGGGTTGTACTTAAATATACTTAAAACTGTGGAAATATTGCAATTTTGGGGACACAATGTTCTCGACGTGCGCTGGCAGAGGTTAACCACTTGCGCTGGCAACTGATTGCGGACCATAACGAGTGACCGAACCGTATACAATATAATTCGTCGCTTTCTTTTTCTTTTGAACTCGTCGGTATGACGTTACTGGATAGAAATTATCGAGAAATAACAAATTCATTACTTGTTTTGCCCGGGTTGTGCTTAAATATACTTAAAACTGTGGAAATATTGCAATTTTCGGGACACAAAGTTCTCGACGTGCGTGGCACGCCATTCCAGCGCAAGAGGTTAACAGCAAATGCAAGTTTTTGTTTTCTTCAACTCGCGCGACGAGTATACTTTGTCGTTAAACAAAAAAAAAAAAAAAAAAAAAAAATCCATCTCTTCACGACGATGCTCGCATATTTGACACACAAAACATTGAGACAAAGTTAGAAAGCTCGAAAACTGAAGATTGAAATAGTAGAAGACTGGAAGCTTAAATATAATTGTCGAGGCTGTTAAATTTCTCGAGAGTGAATCTCGAGGTCGTCGGCAGAAACGCGGGAGCTCGTTTTTCGAAAATCGTGTCTCGATCGTGTCTTTGCAACGTCTTTGCAAGCCGCGTCTTTGCCCGCGGAAAAGTATCGGGTCTCGCACGTGCGTGGCAGAAAGGGGCTAGGCGGGATAGATCGTCGTGGTCGTCGCCGCGTTCGATGCATTCCGCGCGCTTTCCACGCGCATTTCTCAGGGACCTTATGCACCCGCGCGCATTTGCTATTCCGGCGGGGGCCGCGTGGCCGTGAGGTGAATAACTGAGGCCGCTGGAGCCTCTGGGGCAGGTCGACGCGAGCTATGCCCCCGAACGCGACGCGACGCGACTCTGCCTCTCGCAGATTTCCACGCTGACTGAAAAACGAGCCTGCCCTAGCCTCGTGCGCGCTCCCTGGAATTTTATTATTAGCTATACACCAATGAAGAGAGAGAGAGAGAGAGAGAGAGAGAGACAACGAATTTTCATTCTGTTGCGTTTGATCTGCTGATTTATGTTGGTCATCGGTGTCCTTGTCTCGGCGAATGTTCAGTAAAGTCTCGCCAACTTTCACAGTCATATAATTCGTAAAATTAACATTTTCGTTGAATTTCCCAAATTTAATTTCGGGCCGACACTTTTTTGACGTTTGAGTGGAACTCTTTCGTTGAAAATTCGCGTGGAAGGAAATTGAAAGCAACTAAATAAAATGGTTGGATCGTTTGAAAAATTGGAAATTAAAATGACGAAGGACGCGCGCGCGCACGCCTCGCGACTCGAGGAAGGTCAAGATATGAGAAGGGCGCACGGGGACGTGATCCCGCATATCGTTCCCGGCGAATAGTTTGAGGTCAGCCGTTGCTCTGGTACCGAGCCATCGGACAGAGTTTGTAAACTGGCGGAACTTTCCGGATCAACAGCTGCCGCGGCGGTGTATCGATGTACAACTTCTCTCTCGAATATGCTCTCTCAAATCCATGGGTTGAGAACTGTACGCTAGTGGCTGTGCGTTTGCTTTTCTCACGTGTCTCGAAGACGGAGCGAGGAAAAGAGAGAGAGAGAGAAAGAGGGGGACATTTTGCCAAGAGTTCGAACGATAGTCGGGTATCTTGGTGAATGACACGAGCGGGAGTGGAGCTGTCTGCTTGCCCTTTCTATTTTTCCGAATTTACACTTATTACGAGCAGAAAGTATAAAGTAAAGGCAGTCGATCTAAACACGGGTGGATTAGAACGATTAATACGTTTCGAGGCATTTGGATTTCTAGAAATTAATTGGTAATTTATGGCGAAATAAATTGAATACAGTATGCGAATACAGTGGCCGAATGGAAGATCAATATCTATGTCATATACAGGGTGATTCACGTAACGTGCACACCTGATGAAAAATTATTTTTAAATCACGCGTCTAAGGAAAAATAAATTTGTACGAAAGTCGTATGGTTTTAAAGACTGCAAAGTGGTACCAATGGGGTATCAATATTTTATATGCGTCGAGAATTTCGACATTAACGTGTGACAAGCAAATGGCTCCAAACAAATTGTCGTAAAATATCTCCTTAACCTTAGTTTACTATTCTTTTGATTTACGATAAAAAAAAAATAAAAAAAAAATGAAAATTTCGTAACCCATGAAAAATTGAAACCTTGTGAATATTTCTGCTTCTTTAAAACCATGCGACTTTTCTATCGAACAATTTTTTTATTCCACGCGCAATGCAAAAGTTATTTCAAGTGTGCGAGTTATGTGAATCATCCTGTATATATCGCTTGCTCTGTGTACGCAAGTGTCACGTTTCGCGCGTAAAATGACGTAGGAGGAGGGGGGGGGGGGGGGGGGGGGGGGGGGAGTTAGTCCCAATTCCAAGAATTGGTGGGGATAGCGGCAGACGCTTAAGCGAGGACTACTTGTGTACTTCTAACGAGGGTGGCATTTTTTCTGTATTGCAGAACGAGAAGCTGGAGGTGAAACAGAAATGGGCCTCGCGGCTTCTAGGCAAGTTACGAAAGGATATCACGCAGGAGTACAGGGAGGACTTCGTGCTGAGCATCACGGGGAAGAGGCCGGCCATGTGCGTGCTTAGTAATCCTGACCAGAAGGGTAAAATGCGTCGCATCGACTGCCTGCGTCAAGCCGATAAGGTAGGTCCCGCCGTTTCCTTTTTGATCCACTTGCTACTCGGAAAGTAAACTAATTACGTCAGAATCGCTACACGAATTTCGTGAAACGAAAAGCGTGAAGAAGTACTTTATAAACAGAACATACGTTTAAAATACAATTGTGATGAATGAAAAAATTTTTTTGATAAATCATGACAAACGAATGAACACTTTTTCTGAAGTAACACGACTTAACCTTGTATTGATTAAACATTGCGCTTAATTAATCTGTAATTAAGTATATAATGTAGAAAATATAAACTATTATACTTCATTAGAAAATATGAAACTATATTATACTTTATTGAGTTATACTATTGTAGTCTATTAGGTCTACTGTTATATTTTATTATTAGACTGTTAGAAATTTCTGAAAAGAAAATGTTAAGATTAAGTTTACAAAGTAGAAAATATAAACTATTATACTTTATTAAGTTATACCATTGTAGTCTATTAGGTCTACTGTTATACTTTATCAGGTTATTAGACTGTTAGAAATTTCTGAAAAGAAAATGTTAAGATTAAGTTTACAAAGTAGAAAATATAAACTATTATACTTTATTAAGTTATACCATTGTAGTCTATTAAGTCTACTGTTACACTTTATCAGGTTATCAGACTGTTAGAAATTTCTGAAAAGAGAAGATGTTAAGATCAAGTTTGCAAAGTAAAGAAAATATTACTGTACAATATAGTTAAAATACACTAAATAAATACAGTTAATCCAATAGAGGTGATAGAATTGTATTATCTCTGAAATAAATTGGCTTTCGTTTATTTATTACTCAATTAATCTGTAATAAAAGTATCTGATAGTGTCCAGAAAACACGATTATTCGGTTCAACAGAAAAAAAAAAGAAAAAAAGAAAGAAAGAAAGAAAACTGTTGAAACAGACCGAGAGTTGGATACCAGCACCATGGGGGTCCGGGGAGGATTGATCTCAGCCCCCAGTGGTGTCGCTGCGTCCGAAGCAGAGCCAATAACCGTTGGTCCTTGTCGTTATGTCGCACAGGTATGGAGGCTGGACCTGGTAATGGTGATCCTGTTCAAGGCAATTCCGTTGGAGTCGACGGACGGGGAACGGCTGGAGAAGACTGCGGAATGTGCTCAGCCGGGCCTCTGCGTCAACCCCTATCACATCAACGTCTCCGTCCGGGAACTCGATCTCTACCTCGCCAATTTTATCACCAGCCACGGTAAGGGATCGCCCATAGTTATACCAAGTTCGATCGTAACCAGACAATCCCTGTCTCCAATCACAAGAGAGAAAGAGAGATAGATAGAGAGAGAGAGAGAGAGTTCTCAACATTTGGATTCTGTTGTCCGGAAATTTCACCTCAATCCTCTCTCTCTCTCTCTCTCTCTCTCTCTCTCTCTCTCTCTCTCTCTCTCTCTCGTTTGAGTCGTTCGACAACCACGGTCAATTATCGCGAACCATTTCAACCGAAACAATCGCCACGGACACTAATCTTCCATCCAAACGATCCAAACGATCCGCCTAATCGCTGCTGACTCCGTCCCTGATCCCACCAGGAGCCCAAAGAGAGATAGAGAGAAAGAGAGCGTGGCAACGTTCATTCACTCGCGCATCCGTCCATTCAAAGTGTCCAGCCGAGCTACTCTCGGCTTCGATTCAAAAGTTTCTCGGACGGGTCTGCCAATTTCAATGGCCCCCATGCGAGCCAGCGGCCGGTTCGCCAAACGTAGGGAAAGCCTGATCTCCACAATGAGATTGGCCGATTTACTTTCGCCAAGGATCCGGATCTTCGACTTCAAGAAGGCGGTCGATCTTGCCACGCGGCATCCGGCCGTTTCACGTTCCACGGATTTCACCTCGTCGGATACCAGAACGCGGATTCTACGACCTATAGCGATATATAGACAGGAGAAACGCGGATGTTTGGAAGATTCTAAAGGAAGCGGCCCGTGGACGGAAGGATTTTGGGGATGATTCAAGAGTCGAGTGTGACTCTCGGAGCAGCTAAAATTCGCGACAGATCTCGAGGCTCGCGGAACTCCAAGTGTTTACTACTTTCTGAGAGAGAGAGAGAGAGAGGGGACTTTGCGATTCCCCGAATCTCCCTCGAATTCAGTTCTTCTCAATCTCTCTTCCCTCGATGGAGGACCCGATATTCTCGTCGACTCTCTCTCTCTCTCTCTTTCTCTCTCTGAAAATTTGGAAAATTCCCGAGATCCGAGATCCCGTTTTGCCACCGAGGCAGGCAACGTCCCAAAGAGAGACGCAACCCAGCGCCGAGGAAGGCTTACACGCGGCCACCGTTTGATCGACGCGTTGTTTCGATCGATCAGCTGGCAGGAGGGCCGGGACTGGCGCCCGTTCGCGCGCCTCTTTCATTCCGGTTTCATCGAACTCACTGACTCAGCCGGGAAACACGTAATTTCCGCACGTTACGCGCGTAGCGTCCTGGCAGAGCTCCTGTGGCTCGCACGCGCGTCCACCTCCCCCCGGCCGCCGTTCTTCCTTTTCGCCAGGCATCCGTGTGGCACACACACACACACACACACGCGCGCGCGCGCCTTGGCAGCCGACTTTCTACTGTTTACAGCCGCGGTTGACGCAAAAATTGGCCCGAGCCTACTACCACCGCGTGGCCACCTACGAGAACGAGAAAAAAAAAAAAAACGCTCGGCTGCCAAGACATGGGGTAGGTTAGGCACTCTCCAGACCGTTCGTCGCCTAGCGTCTTCGTCGTTCCTCCTTCTGGACGGTCGCTCTTCCCTTCCCTCCCCTCTTTTTTTCTCACGGATGTGCCAGAAATTTTAACCTCTTGCGCTGGAACGACGTGCCACGCACGTCGAGAATTTTTTGTCCCTGAAATTGCAATATTATTATCTCAGTTTTAAATAGTATTAAAGTATAACCCGGGCGAAATAAATTTGTTACTTCCCAGTGATGTCACACCGACGAGTTCAAAAAGGAAAAGAACGCGACAAATTGTCGTGTATGGTTCGGTCGCTCGTTATGGTCCGCAATCAGTTGCCAACGCAAGTGGTTAACCTCTTACGTCGAGAATTTTTTGTCCCAAAATTGCA